AACGATTTATTATTCCCGCCATTCCCCAAACCTTGGACTGCCACAGCCCAGTTTGAAATGTGAAAAGCTTCTGCTGCTCACGGCTCTGATCAGTGTTTGACAACTAGGCATTTCTTTTGAGTTTCGGGTGACTTAATTCTCCACACGCTGCTCTAATTTCCAAATGTTCTTTCCAAATAACGGGGATTGAAAAATGGGTCGGAAAATGATCATTCCCTGGGCTTGTTTCAGTTTTCATGGCAACCTTAAACTGACTAAAATGTCCTTTTTGACAGAAATGTTCAACAACTCCTGTACAAGTATAAGACCTTTTAAAATGATGTAGTCTATGATAACAAGTTCCTGGCTCTTTCAAAATTAAAATCAAAGGAAGAGTCCAGCTAAGGTACCGACAGCATTTTAGATTAGATTTCTTATTTGTTAACACTTGTGATTGGAGTCGACGGCAGCGTTTGTGCAGAGTGTGAGTCCTGGGTGAAACGTGTGAATGCACACAGAGCAGCATGATCGCAGCACGTGAACGCCAGCCTGCCCAGCACCTGTAGGTCACGCTGGCCTCGTTCAGTAAAGACTTTACCGCAGCGTTGCTGTGAGTCCGAGCCCTAGGTCATTGCGAGGCTCCTGTTACTGCCATGTGCAAGATGACATTTCCTGAGGATTCAGCTTACTGATTTTAATTTTGGCATAATTGCTTTTGTAATGTAGCATTTGTAATTAACATGTGTCAGAGCCTAAAGCAGCGGCTGGGGAAGAGCAACATCCAAGCCCGGCTGGGTCGGCCTGTCGGGGCTCTGATGCGCGGAGGACCTCCCGGAGGCAGAGGAGGAATGCGCGGGATGAACAGAGGAGGTCTTCGGGGACGAGGCAGAGGAGGCGTAATGAGGGGAGCTCTGTCTCTGAGAGGTATGTTTCAACAAACTGTCTGCCTGGATTCTAATGGCCACCTTTAAGCTGTGTTCATACTGGAAGTGATGCAGGAGACTGTAGATGGTGAAACACATTTGGCAGGCGGGACCCAGGATCTTATCTCTCATCTTATCTCAACTTCCACGCAAGCGACTACCAATGAGTGCGCAGAGTGCCATTGATTGACATGTAGCCTAGTATTGAATGCATTAGAGAATTACCTAGGCAACTGGTACCTGGGATGTCTGCAGGAGATGGGCCTCCAACCTTATTTGGGCCTCCAACCTTATAACCTTATTATGCCATGTGCGACTAGTGAAATGCTTTCAGAAACGTTGGTTTGACTGTCGCGTCGTTTTTTTAAGTCTTGCTTCGTGCTCCTACTGAGTGTTGGCTTTGCATTACACAGGGAAGCGAGTTTCTACAGGTGGGCCCATGCGAGGCCGTGGTTCTGCCGGTCGTATGGCAATGCGTAGAGGAGGCCGCCAACGCGGCGCAGGCATCGGAAGAGGAGGAGCTCTGTCCCGAGGAGCAGCTCGAGGAGTACCCAGAGGTCAGGGGCTTATTGTTATTGAATTCAGCTTATTTGTGTAGCACCAGTGAACTGTCATTTTTAATATCTATTCAAAACTGTTTTATTCATACAGTGCGGTTCTTTGAGGGCTCTAAGATAAGATTATTGAAGACTTTGTGAGGGGGATTTTAAATTCAGAGCCAACATTTGCTCTTCAGTTTAACAAACTCCTGAAGATTTCTGCTCTGTTGCTTGACAGGTCGCGGGGGGCTGCGTGGACGTGGTGGTTTTGCTGGGCGACGCGGACGTGGCCGAGGTGTCGGTAGACCGGCCGTTACCCGCGAGCAGCTGGACAACCAGCTGGACGCCTACATGTCAAAGACTAAGGGACATTTGGACGCAGAACTGGATGCCTACATGGCCCAGGCAGACCCCGACTCTATGGAGTAAAGGACTGTGGACTGAGCACACAGAGGCGCTGAAGTTGGACGAACAGTGTAGTGTTGATGTGCTGAGAAATGATTGTTAATTTAGCTGAAAGTGATGACACTTTAGGTGGCACCCAGTAGCGGTCTAAACAACATTGTGTGGGTCACTGCTCGGTCGTGCATCGACCCGCTCGTTCAGAGCCCTTTTAATCCTGGAGGGACTTCTTATGCATTAACAAACCCTGCTGTTTCTACACTTCTGTGTCCAAGACGGGTTTTTTCCGTTGTCATTTTTTTATTTATTTTTTTTTCTCCAAAGGGACAAACTGTCAAAATTTTGTTGAAAGCAGTTTTTAAATGTGCTTTTCTTTTAAACATTCGCCCGCTCGAATCGTGGGGATTCAGAAGTTTTAAGCATCACTTTGTTTGCCATTTGCTTACAGTGAAATGTTTTAGGTGAAATTTGAATTAAAGTGGAAACTATTTCCTTAATTGTGTCACATGTCTGAGTTTTAAATATGCATTCACATCCAGCCTCCATCCAAGAGCTGGCTGTCTTTGAATGGTGTTTTTGTAGGGGGGGGGTGATGCTTTCACTTCTGCTGTTTTCACAAAGTAACTTTGAGGATGCCATGTTCATTTTGGGCCGAAGATGGCTTTGTTGCACCAACAGAATAGTTCTCATGAGTCTGTGGGGTATCTAATGAAGTCAGAGGACTTAGTGCCACAAAAAATAAACAACTTTTGGAAAAACCTTGTTTGTTTTTTTGTTTTTAATGAAACTGAATTATTCCCAACAGTCTTTCACTTTGCCCTCTTTGAGTTTTTTCTGTAAAAAGAAAACTACAGTGAGTTTCTGAAGTTTGGAGGAGGCTCAGCATTTCTCTCAGCTTGTACTTGGGTGCAGTCTTTGATCTGAATAGTTTGTTGTGACTTGATTGAAGAAATAAGATTCTAAAAGCCATTGTTCAGCTGTGTTTGGTTAATTTTCTGCGATGAATTTTAACGTAGTTCCTGTTTTGTTTAGAAATCGTTCGTGTGTCAACACAAAATGTTAAACAGAGATGGTCATTTTACCCGTTAAAGTATGCTTGTAGGTAACATTCACAAAGGTAGCATGGTTTGGCACTTAATTTTACTGGTCAGAGTATGTGTGTAGCTGTTATTAACAAAGGTAGGATGGTTCGCCACTGAAATGTAGCTATTAAAGTATGCTTCTAGCTCAGATTAACAAAAGTAGGACGATTTGCCACAAAATTTTAGCAGTTTAAGTATGCTTGTAGGTGACATTCACAAAGGTAGGATGGTTTGGCAGTTAATTTTACCGGTAAGAGTATTTTTCTAGCTAATATTCACAAAGGTAGGACAATTTGCCACTGAATTTCGTGTTGTGCGCATGCGCAGAAACCACGAGTAGGATGGATTACCAGAACACCGGATCAATCCAAAGATTGATAATGTTGGTACCACATTGGTATCAGATGGTTGCTAGCATAATGGGATCAGTATTTAAATTTGCATTTAGTACTGTTGCTGTTTCATCCGAAAGTGGACGTCTCTGTGCTAAAAGCACGTATCACGTGTCTTGCATGTTCGTCCTCAAATGAATGAGGCTGAGCAGACACATGTAGAACGCTGAGTGATGGCAGACACAAAGGACCATCCTGTGGAGACATAAACACTAGAAACTTTGCAGGAAGGCTATTTGCTATTGTGACACCAATTTATACAAACAAGAACAATCACGTTAAACACAGCTGCTTTATACATTAATAGTATGGGCTCTTGCTATCAGCGACGCTGGAACTGCTTAGTATCGGATCTGCAGCGTCGCTACCACTCCGAGCGTCGCATGAGTGCGTGTCGAAAAGCGGTTTCAAGTGACGTAACACTTCCTATAAAGGGCTTTGCGCCGGGTCTCGAGCTCCTTTCACTGCGGTCCGTCATGAGAGGACGAGAGGTAAGCCGAACTGAGCGGGTTGGTTAGTTATGTCCTCTGTGTGTATATCGATATGTGGTTGCATACGTTTTATTATTTAAAACTTAAATGCGATGCTCTTAAACCTCTGTGAACATAGCTAACATCTAGCTTTGCGCTAAAACTGTACGCGCTTTTTAGTATACAAGCTTCCAAAAATGCGCCAATTTCTTTTTAAAAACGACAAAAAATAAACCGACTGGTTTTCCTCTGGTTAGAATCGCGTTTCACCGCACAGAATCACAAAGTCAGGACATTCCTTACTCTGTGATTTGCTCGAACCTGGTGTTAACACAGCGTGTTAACTTCGGGACTCCCGGAGGGCCTAGTTAGCTTTCTGCGGGGAGTATTGGGTGTACGACCCGACCTACGCACGTGGAAGGTGCCGTGGCCGGCGTGTATGTTAGTGTGGGGTGTCCGAGGAATATCTGGTCGAGCAGAGAGGACACGTCTGCTGCCCGCTCCACTCCGAGGCCTGTCCGTCAGCCTGCAGTGCGCGCTGTTGTCGGAGGGAGGCAGTGTCCCGGATGTGTTACGTGTCTGTGAGCCAGCCGCGACAGAGCGAAGCTGTAACAGAAAAGCTGAGATGAAACAAAGAGTTTAAAATGATGAAAAGCGTCGCTGCAGCCGCTGTCTGTGGTTTTCGTGCTTCATCTTTTGCGCTCTGGGTTTTTTCGTGGTTCTTTCGTACTCGGAGCTCTGCTATCGCTCCCTGCTCTGTTCCGGTGTCGTGCCAAAGTAGGTATCCCCGACAGAATTTAAACTTGGGAGGATTTAGCTCTTTATACAGTAAAGTTACAGGAGGATTAAAACTATTATCAGGCAAAATGTTCTTGTGTTAAAATAATCCCGTCCGATACCACGTGAGAACAATAAATATATAGCTATCTGTTGTAACCCTCAAACTGAATGGTAATGTAACGACAGTAATTAACTGCTTCACAAAAGTAAAGCATCAGTACTAACTGTGTGCTCCCTACTCAGGGGAAACAAATTCTGTCGGGGATACCTACTTTGGCACAACACCTGTTCACTTGTCAACCAATCAAAATTCGGCAGGCTCAAACGTCATCCGCTTCCAACACGCGCAGTCAGGGTCGTGGAAATAATTGTATCTCTGTATTAAGTCCTTTAAAAGTCCCGTGAAGACCAACGTGGGCTGCATGTGGCCCATGGCGTCCTTTAGAAGTTTCCAGAAGTGCAACGTATAAATGTAGAGACAAGACTGTTTCTGGTAATCTGTAGTCAAAATCTATTGTAGATCGATGCATTATTATCATAGCAAGTGTTAACAAACCAAACCTGCCTTATTGATATGTCTAAGCTTTATTACCATGGAGACGGTGCTGTTAATTAAGAAACCAGAGCATTAAGAGCAGTGCACCTCTTGCCGTTTGAGGTGTTATGAACTGAATCATATGCATATTTTATATGGTATCTGCCCACAATGCCACAGTGCAATCACCCACTGGGGTTTTCCTGCACTGTGGACTAATCCCTGGGCTACAGTGGCTATAGAACATCAGGTTTTGCTTTCACCTCTGCATCATTGGTTGCTTAGTGGTGACAATGAGCCCTGACACACTCGACGTACAAGTTTGCATCTCCTCCCATTTAACACAAACCTCTCGTTTTGCAGGATGTGATGGGGAGCAGTGGCTCTACACTTCCTGCTGCTGCGATGGTGCACGTGGTCAGTTGTATTAATTTTTTTTTTTTTTTTAAATGTTTGTTTCTACAAAACTAACGGCTGATTTTTGTCTGGTTGCGACGCTCATGGGTCAGCCTCAGCTAGAGCACTATTAAAGATTTGTTAATCCAAGCAACAAAGCAGGAGATAAACAGTGGGTGTTTTCACTTTAACAACAGAAATGTCCTTTAGAGTCCAACCATAATGTGCTTGGCTGTGGTGCCTCAGCTAAATATCCATTTCTTCCTGTGTTTTAAAAAACACAAAAACCTGCTTTAGCAGTGGTGAAGCACCAAAATGAATATGGCACTCACTACTTTCACGCATGACTGTTGATTAGCACAGTATGAGCTCTGGTTCTGTCAAGTGGGCCATAAAGCTTATGCAGTGCAAAGAGCAATATATTCTCTTGCAACCCACTGCTGCAGACTTTCCGCAGCAGTGTTACTAATGAGGACTAACATCTGTCGGTGACCTCGCGTGTTCTCTGAACTGATCTGAAATTTCAGTTTGAAAACTTGTTAAAACGAGAAACTTTACCGTTTCCCTGCAGGTGTCGCAGACGACGCTTCGGTCCAACTCGGTAAGTCGTGCTTGAGGACGAATGTGCCGTAGACCAAGTAATGATGATTGGCTTAATATGTTCAACTGCTCTGAAGTGTGAGTGACAGCGGCCTCTCTGAACACCTGCTGCTCTGTAACCACAAACTGAGTGTTGTTGAAGTCCCGCTGACCTCCATCCTACCTCTCCTGGCAGGTTTTCCTCTTGACCTGACTTTGTGCACCAAGGCAGCAGTAAACGGTATGTCGAGCTTCTGCATCCATATCACTCACTCCCACGATGTAAATGTCCACCACAGTGAAAACCAGACTGACACATGATTGCAATCAGTGAATCAAGATATGCAAAAGGAAAAACGAGATCCATTAGAATGAATGTTAATCTGAAGGAGAAGTGAATTTGAGCCACAATGGCAGCACTGTGTGGTATCTGCAGCCAGCTGCTTCATTAGCTGGTTTGTTCAAAAGTCAGTGCAAGATGAACTCAACAAATGGCATCGTTGGTCTCCTGACTGCTTGTGTTTGGAGTCCTGGTAAACGTGTTGATACACACTGCATTACTCGTCAAATAAAACTGTTTTTGGTTTTTTCTGCAACTTATTTTTTTGTTGCTGATCTGAAAATGAATTGCTTTTGTAATCAGCCAACGTGTTTGTCCCAGTAACCCTGCATCAACTACTGAGCTCACTGTTAACCTTCTTCCAGGTTTCTGCTGCCACAAATGATCATGATCCAAGGTTTCAACTTCAGTAATGAAGGTGAGGATTGGTCCTT